AGCTTGAATTTGTATATGAATAGTTGGTGGTCTGTTCCACAATCAGCTCCTGGCCTAGTTTTCACAGCTGATGTTGAGCTTCTCCAGTGGTTCTTTCCACAGATGTAATCGATCTGATTCCTATGCATACCATCAGGTGAAATCCAGGTATATAACCCGCGTTTAGTCTCAAGACAAAAATTGATCTAGGATTAAACACAAAGCAGTTACCGCTGTCATAAAAAAAAAATCACCAAAACTACACTGCAAATAAATTCTAACTTAGCAACCATGCAGGACAGAGGGGAACTGTTCTGTTGGGTTCCCAAGGCCATGTGTGGTTACAGAAGCAGATGCCAGCTCCCTCTAGCTAAGGAGCTGTCACCTTTCAACTACCAAGCTTTTGGTTGGCGGTTAAGCACTTGAACTACCAAATGGGCATGGCCACTACAGTAGAAAACCCCCAAATTACTATACCAATGGTCTTGATTGATCAAGACAAAAAATTAAATTGTGCTCAGTGTATCTTATTTAATGAGTGTTAAAGAAGACTAAAATATAATTTAAAAAAAAAAAGTGGAAAAACAATACAGGCTCTACAGAGTCTGACTTTTTTTTTTAATTGTATTATTTTTACGTGTACCGTCAAATGAGATCTGACTGGTACAGGAGGAGATTGCCCCCTCCTTCTCCAGCAGAGCATCTGGTAGATTTGAACCGCGTACCTCTGGGACTGCAGTGCAGCGTCTTGCCACTAGCCCACCAGAGCTCCCTGAGAGCCTGACATTTTTAATGAAGAGAAATAAATGCTCGTGTCTCTATAACTGCATCACTCTACAAAGAACCAAATAACACAATTAAGAATATTTTGTGCACCAAAATGAAGAAGGGTTTAAGGACTTGGGATCTTAGCAAGATCTATATTGAAGGCAGATTTTTTAAAAATGTGTTCCTATCAACAAAAACTTTTAAATACCAACTGGTTTTCTCGCCTAAAGTTTTTCAGAGAGATCTTTGGTTTTATTGAAGTAAAAACTCAGTCTGACTACATGATATTATAAAAAAGTGACAGTAAAGGGAGTCTCAGTCTTGACACATTACAGATTTCTAAATGATGTCATTTCAAATGTAAAAAAAATTACTAATGCTGACAAGATGTTTAACTTACTAGTTAATCACATCAAGTTATAATGTAAGTGTATCAAAATCAAATTCTACTCATATAGATTTTACATTCTGTACCACTTGTTAGCCTGGAAGCAGGAGCGGCATCCACTTCTGAAATGGCTTGCCTCCAGAAACTCTATGTACGAACAGTGCTCAGGCTGTTCGTTCATAGGGTCGCTATGCGTCATGTACGACTCAACGGCATTAAACAACAACAACAACAAACCACTTGTTAAAGCTGTTGTTGTTGTTAAGTGCTGTTGAGTCGCAGGTGACTCATAGCGACCCTATGAACAAAGTCCTGGACACTTCCTGTATAACTTTTGCCCTTTCTCCAGGTTCATAGGGTTTCCAAAGGCAAGCTACTGTGGAAGTGAACGCCATTCCTGCTTCCAAGCTTGTTTTAATTGAGGAGCTTCACCAAATACTGTCCACCGTGGGTAACAGTATTCGGCTTCACGGCAACCATGAGTTACCTCTTTACAGCAAGTGGAAATACTAGGGTTACATGAGCTAGAAGAACGTGTCACCAAAAATAATTAAAGGCAAGCCTGAGGGCCTGATGGGATTTGAGGCCTGGGTCTGGAGCAGGCTCCACAGGCTCGACCCCAACCTTAATTACCCTTATTCTAGGGGTCAAGCCACCCACCAGCCTTTGAAGACCACAAAGGACAGTAACACACAACAGAAAAGAGCCCAGAAACTTCCCTTGCCTAACTGCCACCAAGAGAAGCCGCCATGGAGACGCCAGCCATCCCGCCGGCTTAGCCAGGAGACTCCCAAAGAATTTCCCTAACCCCCAGTAAGTGTCATTTTGAGTGAACTGGCTAAAAGGAAAAGATACTTTACCTCTCTGAATTACAAGTTCCAGGGTGGCTGACAGAACGCTTCATCTAGAAAGAAAAAGGAAGCACACCAAAATTAGCACAATGATGACAAATAGAACAATGTAACTTAGCTCTCAGGCAGGATAAGTGTCAACATATAAATTTACTCAGAGAGAAAAAACCCTACAACACAACCTTTTAAAAGACTCAATAATGTAATTACCATAATATCAACCTTTCTTCCTAGTAATCATTAATTTCCCAACTAAGACCAAAAAAATGCTTTATTCTTTTCTCAATACTAAAAAAAAAAGTTTATTAACATATATATAAACATAATATAAAAGTACTAAAAAATAAATATATAGCACTACTGTAAGAGTCATACTATAATAGAAAAGAATATCTAGGAACCCAGAAAATACTCTGATGAGTTTTTTGTTGTTTTAAAGACAGGGGTAAAGCCTTTTTTCAAAGCTTATATTTATAATTCATTATTCAGGTAGCTGATACACAGATGTTCTAAAGTGTGGTTTTCATGAAAGAAGAGCATTAATAATTCAAATCTTTAAAGAACTCAAAAGAGCCTTAAGCCTCATATAGGTCTCTAAATACATATCCTTTAAAAAATAAATATTTGATTAGGAAGAATATTAATAAATATGCCAAATATCAAACATAATTTAAATAATCCAACTACTTCACAAAAAAAAGAGGGTAGCAACCAAGTAAAAGAGATTATTTCAGATGATTAAGTCTGTCTAATATTACTTTAATTAGCTATGTGCCTCCAGAACTAATTGTACAAACAGTAATTCTTGCTTTGTGCATGAAATGAAATGGCAGAGATGGGATAAACAAGCTGCCTCTAAGCTATTATTTCCTAGATCAAGATACTAGATTTCTTGTCATTTTTCTACTAATAAAAGGTTTAGGTTTAAAAGAAACCAAAAACGTATGTAACATACACATATATGTCCAGACTTCTCTGAAAAGCAAAGCACTTCTAACAAGGCATTTTTCTCTAAAGTTCAATGAGGATGAGAGGAAGCTGTGAAGTGATTTTTATTGTACTTGACATTATACACCTTTTAAAGAAAGGGAAAAAACCAGTATAACCCTTGTATATTAATTTCATGAACACGGCATTGTCTCTTTTTCATTTCAGTTCAAATATGCACCTCATTCAATAGTTCATAAATCCATTAGCATCAAGTGGATTCCAACTTGTAGCAGCCCTCCTGGGGGCTGTGTGATACAGGTTACCCCGCCTTGTCTTTATGGAAGCCTCCTCTTTCTCCCACAGGGTAGCTGGTGCGTTCAAACTACAGATCCTTTGGTTAGCAAACAAGTACTTTAACCAATGTGTTACATATGGTCAATCTGTGTCCTAATGAAAGTTTACTCAAACCAAAACTGTTCACTTGCTAAACACATTTCAGAAACACTGCACACAATGTCTCTCCCTGAAATTCCTAATACACATTAGCATAAAAATATTTAAAAATCCTGCAGGGGAAAAAGAACCAGCAGACTCAATTCAGTTACATTAGCCTAGCACTTGCCAAACTGACCTGGCACTTGCCAAACTGACCTGACCGCAAAACTCTTTCACAATATAATGCCTCGGTGATTATAAAACAATCATTTAATGCACTGCAATCCCAGAGGTACACGGTTCAAATCCACCAGATGCTCTGCCAGAGAAGGAGGAGCAATATCCTCCTGTGCCAGTCAGATATGATTTGACGGTACACGCACACAAAATAATAAAAAAATAAAAACAAAACAAAACACAATCATTTAAATAAACCTATATCCCATACCGTTTACTTTGCTATGGAGGCTGTGAATACACGGGGATAAGGTGAACCCTATTTTTCTAAAAGGATCTACATGACATAACCCATTATGTGCTGGGCTCCTGAACTAAAGGTGTGAGGTTTGAATCCATCCACCACTCCTCAGAGGAAAGATGAAGCAGTCTGTATCTATAAGATCCACAATTCTGGACACTGGAGGTAGGCTTGCCATGACTCAGGACTGCATCAGAAGCAGAGGGTCTGGGTTTGGTTGGATTCTTGTTCAGGTAATTGTCAAACAAAGTGCAACAAATCTTATCTCATTATGAGGGAGCATGCTGTATCAAATCTTATCTCACTATGAGTTCCCCACAGAAGTACAAGCAAGTTTATTAATGTGGAAAGGACGATAAATTTGCCAACCCAACAAAGTACTTCTGGTTCCAAAATAATCAGGTGGTAAAAACCAACACCTACACCTAGAGCAGGTCAGACTCCTTGCAATAATTCTCTGATGCAGACATTCAATCCTCTAGCTTACAGATGAAGAGACTCATGTTCAAAGGGGTTGAGTAACTTTTCTACTCAGGTATACATGTTTAAATCCCAATGATTATAAAATACCATTTCCTTTACGTTGCTTCAAATTTCTTATAAAGAAAGTCAAACCCATAGCAGCTGAGACAATTCTAATCCATGATGACCCTCCCTCAAGTTCCAAGGCTATAAATCTTTACAGGAGACAGACCACCTTGGAGTAGCTGGTAGATTTGAAGCATTAACCTTTGAGTTAGCAGCACAATACATAACGTACTACATATTGTTGCCATATGCTGTCTGAATTGGAACCAACTCACAACCAATTCTTCAGCAGATGTTCAGAGGAAGCAAATCTTTCTCTCAGGGAGCAGCTGGTAGATTCAAACTTCTTGTCTTTGAGCCGGCAGTGCAACTCGTTACCCAAACACAGTTCCTTTAATGATTTGCTTAGTTTTACTCTACTGTGATGTTTTTACCAGGTAGATGTTTTTACCAGTGTTCTTCAACCTTTTCCATGTCACAGCACAGATATGGACTTCAAACCCTAAATATCAGAACTGAAGAAAATGTACGAAGTAGCTCATAGAAGACTGTTCCTTGTATGTTCCTTCCCAGAACATTACAAGGAGAAAGGAAGGCGAGTGCAATGTTGGCAAACATGCTTTAAAAGCTCCATTAAAGAATCTGAAAATTTTCTCTTCTGCGCTCCTCAAAATAGTAAACTGTTTCTCCCACACTGCCTATTTCTACTATTAAAAATATTAAAACAAAACAAAAAGCATTGAAATCTAGAAGAAAAACAAGAAATTCCAACCATTTGAACAGGAGAAGGTGACACAGGAGAAATTAAAGGATCGGGATGGGGCAACTGGAACATCTCAGGCTTAAACTTGGCATTTGCTATCTTCACACATTCCTCCAGTGTTGTGATGAACGTATTACAAGTGGCACTAAGTAGAGAAGAGGCTTCATTCATGTTCTGAAAAATAACATACAAGGAGTTCAACAGACTCACTCACAACTATGGAATCACACACAATTTTATAGTCAACTAGTGATATATTGTTTCCATTTGACACATTAACATGTTACACACAAACTTATTAAAAATAAACTTCCCCCATCAACAAACGAATGGATAGAGAAGTTGTGGTATATTCACACAATGGAATACTACACTGCATTTAAAAACAAGGAACTCATACAATATTACTCAAAATGGGTGACCCTGGAGGACATTATGCTGTGTGAAATATCACAGTCACAAAAGGACAAATACTGCATGGCGCCACTGCTGTAGAATAGGACTGACATCAGGGTTGGGGAAAGACTGAGAAAAACTGGATAAATTATGTATACTGCATTGAAACAGATGA